AATAGATAAGACATTTTCCAGTTAAAAAACAAGACAAATACACAAACCTTCCTACGCTCAGACGTTAGTTGAGGGATGCTTAGTCGTATCACTTCTCCATCATTGTTTGGCGTCAACCCAATGTCAGAACTTACTATTGCCTTCTCAACAGCTTTTAAGCTGAAAGTTTAAACTTGTTAAGACCCCTACAAGTATTACAAAACATAAACAAAAATTTTGGAGAACTGAAAAGTATACCTAGATTTGTCATATGGCTGAACCAGAAGAGTGCTCCCATCTGGTGTGCTGATTTGTGCAATGCTCTTCAAGCTGACAGGACTTCCATAATACTCAACCTGGAAGAAAATTGAACCTTCATGCCAAAAACAACCTTTTAACCAGTCAAATAAATTGAAGAATGCAAAAAAAAATACAGAAATGCATTTGTTATACTATATTGAACATAATTGGTATAGTAGGCAAAAAGGTTTCCATCAGGGTTCAAGATCTAAAGTTCCTTGTAAAAAAGAAGTTCAATAAAGATAGCAGAAAATGCATCAAGCTACAAGATCTGGTATATCCGTGCAGAATTAATAAATGAGGTGAAGAGATAAAGTGAAATTAAATCAACTACTACCAAACAACTGCTTACTTCTAAAAGAATATAGGTTTGGGTCCTAAAAATGACAAATCCAATATCAAAGCCACAAATAAACTGCCACCTGCTTTGTTTAACATAAAGATGTGAAGGCCTTATACCCTTGTTAAGTACAACACTAAAATCAAGATGAAACACAAAGAAGATGGCAGAAATAAGCCATATGTCAGATTAATTAACCTCAACTCGATCAAGCATGGAAGGATTTGCTCTCCCTGTCCTCACTGCATTGAAACTTGCACGAACTGTTTCAATGGTCTTTTCCATCCTTTCTTTCTGTAAAACATTTGAACTTATGACCTTGAAAACCTGATGTAATCATAAGTTGCAAGGATAACATACATCTAATTGTAATGATGAAACTTACAGCATCCTTCTCAATCACAGATTTCTCAGCTTCAATTTCTTCAATGGTTGCACACCTTAAGACTCTTGCCCTGAGTATACCAAGAACATGCCATGGAAAGTGATAACATTGAATTTTGAAGAAAGTGACATAAATTCTTCACATCAAAGACACTTACCTTCTCTTGGAGTTTCTAGATACCAAAAGACTACTAAAGAATGCATTTACTCCCTCCTGTAGTCTTACATAATTTGAAGATGAGCTCAATGAGGACATGTGTTTACCCAAAGAAATATTACCACCACGGATATTTCCTGTACATAAAGAAGGACCTTTATAGTGAATGTTTCTGTTCACACTCTAAATGGAAGCAATTTTACCAGAAGTGCTAGAAGAGAAAGTATGACAAGCCTATATTGATGCATGAATTCATAACCAGTACTGCATTTCAAGTTTCTTTTTTTCTATTGGTTGACTTAAGCGCCTAATCTTTCACAAGTATTTTGTGATATAGTCGAGTAGCTACCTCCTCATGGACTTTGAATTAGTCAGAAATTAGAGAGGATTATAGGAATAATGAGACACATTTTCAGCTAGATACAGCAAAATAGATTCTGAGATTTTCTTTATGAGAGTAAATGCTCATACCCTCCTTGACCTTTCTTCAATTTTTTATATTTCCTCTCTTTTCATAATTTGCAATAGTCTGAATAAAATTTTTAACAACTGATAGACTAGAAGCCCAAGAGGCACTTGAAAGAGAAAATAGAAAATATCTAAAGAAGCTAATAGTGCTATAGGTGAGATAAACCAAACACAGAGGGTTCTGCAGAAGACTATGCTTACAAACTCTGAGAATGACGAGTATTTAGAAAGTGTATGTGTACCTTCTGAATGGTAACAAATCAAAGGTTGATTGGTCTTCCATTATCATGATCAAAAGTAATAAACTCAATTTCAGTGTGTAAAATAAGGTCAGAATGATTGGACACATCTGTAGAATTTCCCACACATCTTAGAGAGAGCCAAAGTGAGGATTTCCTTAAAAAATTGACACTTGATGAAGTTCTATGGATAAAATAGCACCATGCACAATTCACATCAACAAAAAAAGAAAAAATTTTGTGGACCAATCATGTGAAGCAAATTTACCAAAGCATTACACAAACTATAGAGGGCAATCACATTTAAATTTTAAAGATTATGCTGAATCCTTTAAATTTTGTGACAAATCTTAAATTTCTATCAGCATGGAGCTTAATTTAATAATCTGAACAGGTCAGCACAAGAAGAATTTTTCCATGTGTTGCATCAGATACTTGAAGACTGTACCAAGCATTTGACCACCCACTATAGAATTGTCGATAGGATACAATTAGCCTAATGAGGAGCAATTGGTAGCTTTATATCAGTAAAAAGCATCGTCATCAATTGTCTGATTGTATGTTTATAATAAAAAAAAAATTAATCAATTAAATAGACACAATTACAAGTTATATCTGAAATCCCATATTGAACCTAGAATTTCACTCTCTAGTTGTTGCCAATCCTATTTGCTCAATAAAATTTAATGCCATCATAATTTGTCATCAGTCACTATTTACTCAAAATTGTATATTTTGTGCATATCACAACCACCTTATAGCTAGACTCAACTATTTTTGTAATTTGTAAACTTGTAATATGTGCTTCTGTGTCCCAAGATTTGAAGATCCAATTCCTAGTATCTGCATAAAGAACCATTGTTAGAATTAATTAGTTGATGGAGTGCAATAATGACCAGCCAATTCGATAAAAGGAAGGGTGCACATCACGGTTACAATAAACCAAAGACCTTTGAGAATCATGTGCACAGGCCAGATATCAGGAGAATATTCAAGCAAACAAAAGTATGCTTCAAACAAAGATCAATACGTAAAGGCTTGCATATGACACACGATACGTAATGGCTTCAAACAAAGATCAATGGTCTTCTCCAGAAAGGATAAGACCTTTTCTAACATTATTGTTTGCATATGACATGCAACGAGTCAGTTATCTAATGGGTTCAAACAAAGACCATATGGTTGGTTTTCTCCGGTTCAGCAGGGATAGTATTATAAGATAGAATTCATTTTGCTCAAGAGTGATACCAATGTGTGCATTGACTTTGCAGAACAGAGTTTACCAGATCGGATTTTCATATATTCTGTACTTCAGATTTTGAGATAACATCAATAGATCAAGAGAACACAAGGATGCAACTATGCTCGCTAGACAACCAAATTCCATAAAGACATCTGAAACATCAGAAAGCTAGCTAGAAAATTAGTTCTCACATATTTCAGAAAGCAAAAAAAGGAAGACATCAGGGAATAACTGGAAGCAATTGTCAAAACTTATTCAATGTGCCACATCTTTGCAATAGGTAGTACATTATCTGTTTAATTATAATTCCAACAGATACCTAAGTTGTTGCCATGGAGCAACTTGTTACTTATTCATGAAACCTATTAATAGCAACAAACTTCTCAGTACTAACAGAAAAAGTAGAAAAGAAAAGAAGCATGAGACTAACAAAAGTTAATAAAATTTTCAACCAGTACTAATGCATCTCCATTGTTTATGCTCAAGGGAGTTATGTCAACAGATTCCAAGAAAATAACTTAAATGTTGCGATATCTGATACAACTTCAACATAAGAAAAGGCCGATTCATTACAAATGAAAAAACCTTTAACCACACTAATTGGAAATAATCTTCTAGTTCTAGTATGATTTAAGATAAAAGTAACCAAATAAAGCCAATGTGACGAAATTCATCTGCTTTTCTATTCCCATCTCTTCCAAATCTTCTACAATCTCCTCGTGCATAGTTGCTATAAACCAACCACACAGTCTGATTACCGCAAGGCTACTGAAATCCCTGACCTACAAGCTACCGCTACCGTATCAATTCTTTCCGTATATCATTCACTTGTCAGATAATCCGGAAACAGAAGCTATATATATGTACTCAATGCACCCATTCCGAACATATTATAGGCTTACCTTGTAGAATCAGAGAGAGAGAGAGAGAGAGTACAGTGGAAAACCTGGTGCGCTGATGATGGAGCCGGTTCTTGATGGGAGAAGACTAGCAGCAGTGAGGCTTGGATGGACGGATCGGGCGGAAGCAGCGGGCGAAAAGGACCGGAGAGCCATCGGGCCTCTTGGCGGAGAGAGTGAGGAAGGGGATAAGGAACGAATTGCCGTCCAAAGGAAGGGTTTATAAACGCTGACGTGGTGGAGTCGGGTCGAGATAAAGACGAGCCCGACGCTGCCCTATACGACCACGGCCGCGTTCGAGAAATAGCACGTCAGTTCACATATACATGATTGGTTAGTATGTTGGACAATCAATTAAAAAGAAGCCAAAGGATGAATCAAAGTTTTGCTTATATAAACGAACTCAACCGTAGCATGGGTCGACGAATAGCATGGGTTGATATCGAGTTTGTCACCTGAACCTTACGGTTATTTGCTTTTTAGTTTCGAGTTCTTGAGACGTACATAAATATCTTACCAAGTTGGTGAATTTAGATTTATCATATGATGGCAAGTCTCGAGTTATAAGATTTGTTATTATGTTCCTAAAAAGATGAATGCCTCAAGTACAAGGTTTAGAAGCTCGCCTAGATTTTAGGGCTAATTTTCACCAGCTTGTCACTCTGAGCTTGTTGTAGATGTGGGCCTAGATTTTAGGGCTGCGTTAGATTTGGGGGTTGGAATAACCAGTTAAATTATTTCAATCTAGTTAACTTTAGACATATGTGGCAGATTATGCAGGTTAAATGAGTTACTTTTAACCCATATAACAATTAGAAGAGTACAATGCTACTTAATACATGTATCTTCTAGTGCAACTTCTATCTACATATACAATCCATCTACAGACATAGCTTGATATGTTAGTCATGCTGTACATACTACCATACTAGAACTCGATTTGGCAACTCAGGTGTTGACTTCTATCTTCTAGTGTTGTATGCACGCCTACTCTTAAAATTGCTTACACTTGTCAAAAATAATGCAACTGAGAAAACATTGGATTCTCACTTGAACTACAATTGTTAGTCCGCCACTGCAAATAGATGCAGCACCCCGAACATTACACCAAACTATGATGCTTCTCAAAAACCAAACCTTGGCAGTAGTAGCATGCAAAACTACACAAGAATGAATCTATTAGCTTTAAGTTATCTTCGATGGAGCCTACTTGTACAACTCCAGCTTGTGGGATGCCAGAAACTCTTCATCTTCCCACAGCCAGCTTTAGTATCGTGCAAACTGTCTTTGATCATCAGCCTTCTGTCTCCCATAGGGGTTGCTTGCACTGATGCCGTGGTGGCCGCCATCAATTTTGTGCGTCTTCTTCCTGAACTTGGATGCACTGCTTTCCAGATCTAAATTCACCTTTGGGGGTGAGACAAAGCAAAGAGAAGTAGCCACATCCTGTCGAAAAGCCCAAATATCCTCAAAATCAATACCATAGACCAAATATCTATAGGACATGAACAACAGTAGATTAGAATTTTACCAAATTTTTGCTATAGAATATGCACAAATATAATGGATTAGAGCCTTAAGGATTAACTATATTACACAAAACCTCTAACCATGAGACCTTTCCAGGAATTTGGACTTTAATGCTCCTTATTAGACTTAGAGAAGTCAAAGATATGCTGGAACCATCATGTTAATTTATAAATGGACTTGACTAGGTTCAACACACAAAGGAGCTTGTTTATAAGATGTCTAAGTAGCAACATATACAATCAGCATTAAATTAATTGGTACCTTGAGATTGAGGTGGTGCACATTAAAGACATTCTTCATAGAATGTGAATTGTAGGCTAAAATATAGGATTTGTATGCATCTTTAGCTGACTGGCTTAGAAAGTAGTTTTCTCCCACTATTTTCTCCTGCAGGATAACATTGAGAAACTTAGTCTGTGCTACACAAGCATATAGTGGTTAGACGATAAGATGGTCACATAAGAGTGTTACCAGGTGAGATTGCAAATTTGGCACTTTCTTTTCATTAAACTCGTATTCCTTGACAGGTACCTTTGCTTCCTATTAGAAACAGTCAACCAAATTAATTATCTTAACACTGCAGTAAAACAAATGCAATGCTAATGCAAGGTCATGTACCTTCAAATAGAGGAGGAATTGCACCTCTTCAGGCAATAGGAAAAGCAAAGCATTGCCTTCGCTGCCCTCCCCACGGGCTGTCCGGCCAACCCTGTGAATGTACTCCTGAAAATGAATACAAATTTAGAACATCTAGAAGGAAAACAAGATGGTGCAATCTGCCTAAACACGCACCTTTGGTTCGTCAGGAGGATCATATTGCACAATCCAATCCTACAGACAAATTACAAATCAGTGTGGGGATTAGACAATTCAGAGCATAATAAGTGAAGTATGAAACTTACCACCGATAAGTGAAGTATGAAACTTACCACCGCAGGAATATCAAGTCCCCGAGCAGCTACATCAGTGCAGAGTAGTATACCCTTTTGTGCCTTGCAGAAGTCAAAAAAAGTGGCTGTGCGTTTCTGCTGCTTTTGCTTTCCATGGATATCAAAACAATCAATTTGAATATATCTGAGAAGTTCTGAATGGTACTTGACTGAGTTGCAGGAAGAAAAGAAGACCATTATCTTTTTCGAAAGGTTTCTCTTCAGAAAAGCATACAAGACCAGAAACCTTTTGTTACTTGGAACTACACAATATCCTTGCTGCAACCCTTCAACAGTGACCTGAGAACAACCAGAATCATCAAATTTTTAACTAAGTATAACAGGCATAAGTATCACAATGATGAGAAAATCTGGAACTTACCTTTGACCTCCCATCATCAACTCCAACATATATTGGCTTTTCCTTAAATGACAAACAAGCAAATTCCTCAACCTGCATAATATATAATATTCATCGACTAGACCAAATAACTAAAGATCATTATGGTAAGTTCTCAATGCCAACTGCAGACCTGCTTGGTTTGGGTGGCAGTAAAAAGGGCAGTTTGCCTTGCCTGCATATTGATAACACAGAGAGCTGCTATAAGATCCATATTTCATATATGCACCAACAAAAAAATTACAAGATATTACCAATTATAGATCAAATTTATCATTATAGTGTACAATTCTCAGATAAAATGGAATTCTGAATCAGCATTTAAAGCCATGTGTGAGTTTGTTGTTTTGTCATCAGATCAAAGAAATAATTAGGCTATAGTACTTTCATCACAATGAACTTCAGTAAGAGAATGTGAAATAATACATCATCTTCGTCAAATTGTCACTGTGTAGGCTGTGAGCACACCAGGCTCCACCACCTTTGCTCTAAAGCTAGGCTAAAAGAGAAATTTGTGGCTACTATAGGAGTGATGACCCTTCCGCTGTAGTGGCCTATGTCGGTCAGATTCAGATATGTATCCCATGTGTCATGGATCTTAGCCTCCATTATGGTTATTGCTCCAATTTTAGATACATGGTTACATCAGAGTCCAACATTTAAATTAAATTTAAAATTAAACTATTTTAAAGCTAAACAACATATAATCATCATATATATTATATATATAATTTTACAAAAGTTATCTTCCATTGAAATTTTATTTAATTACTTTAAATAATATTTTAGATCTGACTATATTAAGTTAAAGCTAAAAACTTCTGTTTTGCTAATCTTTTTATTTTTGATGTTCGAGAACGAGGCAGTAATCATCACTCCACATATGAAATCAATGAGCCATCCAAAAGATCATATTCCAACAAGAGAAACAGCTCATGAGCCCTAGTTAGTATCGGCTCCGGTTGGTGATGAATCCTACTGCGGAAATACCTCAAAATTCAAAGAGATCTTTGAATCAATCTAAATCCAAGGCAAAACTCAAATAATCATTAAATTTTAACTATGATTACAACACGAAAGGAGTTTACAGTGAGACATTAAATTTACATAAATTATCCAATAACAAAAAAAGCATCTCCAGTAGCAAATTATACATTTACTGGGCAAAAGATAAGCACAAAGTCTATTGCAATACTCTCAAAACGAGGAACAACATTCAAATTGAAAGGAACAAGGGCAACTAGGTCAAAGGCCAAGCTTCTAAATTAAAAGGTCTTAACCAAGGACTATATTGGTGGTAAAGGCATCCTATTGATTATATCTCATCTGGAATAATCCTAGCACAGCAAGAATGAATCTCCCAGCAGGCTTTCCCGATGAAAGAACAACCTCTGCCCGATATGCATGCATCCAGAGCATAGGGCAGCAATTTCAGTAGTAAACAGCAAGAAAGGGAGTCAAAAGGTATAGAAGAAAAGCAAATCAAGAGGAATTAGAAGCAGGAAGAACTCCAGACAGAAAAAAAGAATAACGCAAGAATTACCTAATCTTAGAGACGCCTAAAGCTAAAACTTTTCTTTTTTATAAGATAACAATTCTACTTATCTTCACCCCGTACTGAACTTTTAGAGATAAGAATCCTATATCATCTTCTCATATTTTCAAGTATTATTTGACACATGCAACCTCTAAATACTAATAAAAATACTTCAAAATTCTAAAAGTAAAGGTCTAATCTACACCTAAAGCAAACAATAAAATTAAAACAATGGAAGATATAGTCTACACTCAATCAAGCTAAAAAGTTAACGTCTAGGTTAAGATGCATCACTTGGAGTGACTAGTTGTAACACCCAAATTAATCTCGCATCATAAGTGGGCTAAGACTAAGATTAGGTTATAAGGGTTTTGAGTGTAATATTGTAAACTTCACCTTAAGAATTTTGACCGATGATTTGGGTTCAATGAAGTAAACAGGCCAATTATCCCATAAGATTGGTTATGACAATTGGTATCAAAGCCGATCAAGTATTAGCGCATGGTAAGGGGCTCGAGTAGGAAAAGATTATCCGTGGATAGGGTAAGAGGACATATCACGACGTGGAGACACCACTGGACTATGTCTCGCATGCACTATGCTACAATTTAATCTGGATTATGCTAGGCCTTGACGAGAACATCAATTCCTTATATGGGGGAGATTGTAACATCTCGATTAATCTCATATCGAAGATGGGGTAAAACTAAGATTGACTTATAAAGATCTAATGCGTGTACTACTGTTAATCTTATCTTAAGCATTTTGATCAATTGTTTGGACTCGACAAAGTTAACAAGTCAGTTATCCCACCAGGTCGGGTTATGACAATAATAAAGGCCAACCATGACAATAAGAGAGGGAGGAAGCTTATGGCAAAGTTTTCACCACTATTTTAGTCAATTACAAAATGTTTCATGGGAGGAAAATCCATATTGTCTGCTTGCACATTCCCTCATAATGAAAAAAAAATAAATGGATAAAGGTGTGGCATTTTAACAAGAAGTAGAAGCAACAATAGGATTAATACATCAAATGACAACAAGCCATAATGTTCTAACTATTTGACGTCGGTTATAGGAATCTTTTTCCACCACTAAGCTTTATGCAGAGCAATATTCTTAATCAAATCAAGAACATTTAATTATTTATTTATAAAGTAATAGGATTAGTAATTCAGGAAAAAAGTCCACTCATCAAAGCCATATATTTTACAGATAATAGCAAGAGAAGACAACAACTTCCGTAACTAAAAGCTCCTAACTTCAAAGTTTTAACTATACGGAAACGAGAAAAAGTAGGTAAATGATTAGGATAAGAATGACCAACATACCTTTGGCAAACACTTAAATATTTGCTTCATATCTTCCTCAAAGTTAGCCTCCAAAATTCGATCAGCTTCATCAATTATAAGAAACTATATTTGGAAAAGGGCCAAAATGAATATCAACATTTCAAAATCTGGAGAAAATTTACATGATAAACAATTATTCACAATGTTGAACAAATTTTAGTTTCAATATTTTTAAGTTTAGGTCCTATTGGATAAGATCAAACATGCAAACTTCACAAGTATCAGAACTTGAAAGGCTAGCAAAAGATCAAAATGCATGGGTAACAATGAAAATAAGCCATTGATGAAAAAATGCCAGTGATGATGCAAACTGGGAGATCACAAACTGGTTGGCTATAGTCACAAAGTAACTAACTAACAAGGTAAAAACTGATATGACCCACTCAAAGATATGTTGATAGCAAGGCTTCAAACTAGCGAGACCAGTATAGACTGGCATTTATTGGTCAACAGGTGAACAATACCAAACCATTTAGGTTGGTCTTGTCCAGTATTTAGTTTTTTACTATTTTCCCAATGATACTGGAGGGTATACCACCCAATATATACCAGTAATATATCAGTTTGATTGGTTGTGGATCGAGATATAATAGTTGATAGACACCTTCATTTATGACTCAGACCTCAAGATGGTGATCACCCAACACATCACCATAAATATTTCAATTTTTAGCAAGGTATATAGCTCAAGGGTTCAACTCCCAGAACCAGCCTCTCAAACAGGTAAACATACATTGAGCCTCCCTGGACATCAGAATTAGTCAGAGCGTCATGCATCAAGTAACCCTTATAACAATGTTTGTGGGCTTAGGGTTGGGAATGAAATCGACCTTGGGATTAGTATTGAGATCAATAGGATCAGTCATATTGTATACACAAATCTGGATCGGCAAAAATGTCATTTAAAAACTAAAAGAGCATCCAATGACGAGGCTCCCATCAATGTGGGTTTGGTGTCGGATCAGTTTATGCAACCTTCCCTCTAGATATATAGAGACTCTTTCTGCGACTCTAATCTCTGGTATCTTAGGTGGAAAAGGGAACAACCTTATCATTGTACCAAACCCCACCCTCTATCTTAAAACTAAAAATGTCCTAAAATTTAAAAACAAAGGAATCATGTATCTTCACCACTTTAGTTTTACAAACAAAAATCTGACATTATTCAAGTGAAATATTCTTTTGTTTCCGCCTTTCCGGTACACATTGTTTCCTGCATGATTGATTACAAGGACTATTACATCAGGCACTTATTACTCCCAAAAACAATCATCCCTCTTGGTGGCCTCTAAGACATGGACAAAAGAGAACATTTATCACTAATGTACTGTTTAGATACATGACTCATTAGGGCCACAATACGTGCAGGCTCATCCCCCATATACTGTTCAGAACTTAAAGTATCCCTCAGTTACTGTTCAGACTTGAAGAGTATAAGCAAATGTTTCTAATTCTGATCCCAATCTCAACCCACTGTCCAATTTCCCTTTGCTCAGCTCTGGTAGTCTGTGAGAGAGTAGGAGCAATCAAAAACAGCAGGTGTATGACAAGTGAAGGAGATGAATGGACAGTGAAAAAATTAGTAGGAACACTAGTTAAGCAGATCTCTACACACTCCTCCCTCTCCCATCCTGTCCTCTCACACCTCTATTTCTTCAGTCTTTCCTCTTCTCCCCTTCTTCATCCTGTTTATCAATCTGGCCACCAGCAGCAAGAATACAACCACAATCAGTTAATGATCTCAAACAACTTCAACGAAAATTTCTGAAAAAAATAAGGAGAGCTATTTATCGTCAGGTTCAGGGGTAGAAAAGGTCAAACACAACACATTCTTGAAAACATAGTTCTCTGACCCTCTTGATAGATAAATGTACAAAGCCCTGTAACCTAGAAACAGTCATTTCAGATTTCTGCCACCAGCAAAGAAACAGGATCATCGACCATGAGAAAAAGGAACAGAGAAAGAAAGAATAAAAAAATAAAAACAAGGAGCTTAGGAGATAAAATATCCTAAACGATAAACTTCATGTAATTAATATCATAACAGGTCATTCCACCTGACGATAAAGTAATTTTAGTATAAGATTAAGATTAACTAGATTATAGAAGTATTCCTTTCATAGGCATAGCACAAGATCCTTCCTCATTTCTTCCTCTTATTATTTCATTAGTAACTACACCTATGAAAATTCTTGTTATTGCTACAGTAATCATCATTGTCACTGCTTCTGAACTGGTACTATTCTATATTATGGCTTTTATTACTGATTTCCAGCGAATGCATTTCTACAAAGTGAAATGTAGCACATGTGAAGCATGAGTGACTTCAATCTAACCGAGGGTACACAAGGTAATATTCAATAAATAAACTACTAACACTATTGGTAATACTGTCAGTATTACCAAGATGATATACTCTTTGCTCTGATCCATGTAATTTTTTGTATTCAAAGGCTGGCTGCTGGGCTTGCATGGGCTTCGAATTGTAGCACACAAGCATACTACGTCTTTTGATTAATGAGACCAAGTGTCAAGGGAAATTCCATGACTGTTGTAACTTGGCTTTGGAAGACGGCTTTGCCTAGAATGTATTTCCATCTTATTCAGGATATTATCTGACTTTCGAAAGGCTAATTGCATAGTGGACTGGTAGTTGGTGTGAGAATGACCATGTTGGGTACTGTGGCATGGTTGACAACTTACGTACTTGAGCTTCTCAATTTTGCTTGTGAAGACATATCGGGTAGAAGTTAGTTACTCGATGTAATATGATTCTCTTCCCTTCCAACAAAAAATAAATATAATGGCAATTTCAGCCACTTTTACTCAGTGTGCATGCCTTATTTTGACATGTTTCTGTTGTTATATTTTCATGCAATTCTTTCTGAGGTATATCTGATATGTTACAACATTCTGCATATCCACTAAATAATTACCAGGTATATGCATCTCATGTGGACTATCATTGGTTAGGGTACTTTGGTCTACCAAAATCAGTATTTGTTGCCCATTTAATTAATCCAAACAGGTGTCTGATCACACATAACATGCAATAGCATCATGAAAATAACAAGATATAAGAATAAAATGTAGACATAGGCTACAAAAAAATCAGAATTTTCACACAAAAACATTACTTACCATCAGATTTTTGTAAATGAATCCTTTGGTGTTTTTGAGATGGTCCAAAAGCCTTCCAGGTGTAGCCACCAATAAATTTACCCCCTTAGCAAGATGCTCAGCTTCTCCTTTTCGTCCAGCACCACCAATAACCAAACCAAGAGTCTGTGAATGGTACTTCAAAAGATCCTTCGCCACAGCATGTGTCTGCAATGTAACCAAAATACTAGAATAGAATTACACCAAAGATTGACAAGTAGATTAAGAAACACTCTGAATGCAAACTACGACAATGCAAAAATTAGCAAGGTCTCAAGAATTAACTTAATTTGGCAATAAGAAAAAAAAAACATATCTGCCATGGAGAAAAAGAAAAAAAAAACATATAGCAATATCATATACTCAATGCTGTTCATGATGTAAGACCAACTACTTCAACCAAAGTTATGGACATCCCATTTACACACTTCAATCACACAGTAACATAAATCTCTTATAAATTCCTGTATCTCCATATAATGTAGATGTTGCATCAAGAAACAGTTGAAAGTCCCTTGAAACATAATCTCCCACAAGTAATAGTTTTCTACATATTTAATGCTTCAACATCCTAACTCCAAGGAAACAGATATCGGATTAATTACACAACCCCTATTTACTAGGCCCAGATAACAGAAGATTGAGTTCAAGAAATGCAACATAATTATCACAAAAGAAATTCGAAAATCTTTCTATTTGGACATCATGCAGGATGATAACTGAATGTTTCTGACCTTCGAGTCCTTCACACGACTCTCATATAAAAGGCCTCAACAATACATTACTTGTAGTGGGAGTAGATAATTGCTTATTGAAAGGAGAAAAACACATGTCATGTAACATATTGTTATGTCAAAAAAATTCCAAATGCCAAATGCATCATTTACCACCAAAGTTGTTAAAATGCCTATCCGACAACAGGAATGCCTCCCAGAAAATGGATCAAGATTAAATTACATTTAGTTTATGTATGTAAAATGTCAAGTGCTAAAAGATCTTTCTGGTTCATTTCCTCTGACCATCAATCCAAACAAAAAGCACTGTAGTTCTCGTTGTCTTTACTCGTAATATGATTTCAACAGTTAGCTAAGATCCATGAGCAAGAAGAAGAATTAGCATGAACAGTCGAGGTGCGTTCTTCTTTTCTTATATTGATATCAGTTGGATACTGTAACTCAGTAGTCATAAATCTGTTTATATAACCAAACTAGTTTAAGTTAGTTGCATCACAAAATGTAAGTACCAAGAAGAAGTAACAAATAAGTCAATAAGGAGTAGAAAAGAATATTTTAAGCAACTAGATAACTAATATAATTCTTACTTGAATGGCAAGCTCCCTTGTTGGACAGATAATGATGACCCCAGTGCCGTTCCGAGGCATAAAATGGATATTATGCAGCAACTCGACTGCAGGTATCAAGAAAGCAAGAGTCTTTCCAGAACCTGTCCTGGCAGCACCCATCACCTCTTTCCCTGCCAACAGAGGTGGTATCGCTCTAGCTTGAATCTGCAATCAACATTGTCAGACTTCATCGGCTTCAAATGATTCCTACTCTCAAATCATTGTAAAACAGATTAATACATAAAAATACTCCGAGAGAAGGAAAGACTGAAAAAAAAAATCCTAAAAACCAAAGTCTCGAGCATCCAATCGAGGAGAGGTGACCTGCGTCATGTTCTCAAACCCCATCTCTTGGATGGCCTTCATGGTGAGATCGGAGAGGGGGAGCCGAGAGAAGGGCTCGGAAGTCAAGATCCCAAATCCCTTTTTCTTCTTCTTGGCGGAGGGAGCCGTCTCCTCCGCGCCGTCACCGGCGTCATCTCCGTCTCTCGCTTCGCGGGCATCGTCCTTCTCCTCATCCGAGTCCCGGTGGCACTTATCTTCGTTCTCTTCTTCGTGTTGGACTTCTTCCTCTTCCGCCACCGGTACGGGGCCTTCGACACTGATGGCGTCCGCACCCACGTCGGGTTTCGGCCTGTTCTTCCTCTTCTTCTCCTTCCTAACCTGGTGAAACTCCACCGCGGAAGACATGAAGGGCGAGTGTGTCCTAGACTCCGGGGCGACGGTCGGTTCTCTTCTCCGAGACGGTGCGGCCGTCGCTTCTCTTGGATATAAACGCGCCCAGAGAAGAACGGGCCCTAATTGTCCTAAACCCTTCTCAGGTTTGTAGAACCGTTCATGAGGCAGGTCGGCTCGGACCCAAATTGAGCTCAGGTAATATTGCCACGCGGAAGATTCTTCGACGCAACCAAAAGATGAGAAAAAAAGATAATTGACGATCATAAAATAATAATAATAATAATTCAATTTATCTGGGAAACACTTTTTTTTTAATGGCGTCATCGAGAAATTATCCGAGGCACCTTTTCACGAACAGACAAGCATACTATTATTTTTCTCAATATTTTTTTAAATAATAATAATAATTTTTTTGATATATTCTTTTTATTTTATCTCTATGTATATTTTTTATTTTTAAAAGATGGGATTACTCTTATTATCATCTCTACACTACCTTCACCCGTTTCGAGGTCTCATCACAATCTCACCTCCTCTTAACTATCACGGTAGTTACATGTTCTTCTCATTTTTTTCCTTCGATCTCTGCCCTTCTTCATGACTCTCCTCTTTTTTTTTCTTTTTTTTTTGTTGCATTCATCGATCTCACCTCTCTCCAAATCATCTATAAGGGAGTGGACACTCCATTCCCATCTTTCTCCGACATCTGCCAAGTTTTATTGGACTTCAATTTTATACTTACTAGGTTATTACCAACCATGTCCTCCTCCATGCCACCGACGACCATTACGCTCTCACCTCCCTCTCTTCTATGATGACGACAATCGAATACCCTTCACCACTTCATCTATAATCACAATATCACGCTCCTCATCCTCAATCTTTACCTTTTGTTCAACCTCAATAATAACGACCACCTCTTTGCCATCATGGCTGATGTGGGGGCAAAGAGGAGGGTAAAGTTAGAATACGATAGGATGAAAGTGATTATGATATATACTCATGATGGGGTGGAGGGGGTAATGATAGAAACTCGTAATCTTCTTTTTAAAATATAAGGTGAGAATAAAATAAAAAATTGATACTTTTGGAGGGAAAAAATTGAAACTTTGGACTTTCTTTCGGAAAAACTTACCCTTATTCTTTTACATGTATTACTTGATGTTTGACGAGTTTGAATGTATAACCTAAATTAAATTGAATTAATCCATATTTTAATGTTAAATCTTTTTTTATTATTTCTTTCATCTCCAATGTGACTATACTTTTTTAAAGATTATAATAAAAGGGTAAAGCTTACCTTAAAAAATTAATTAGTATAGACTTTTCGAGTTAACTTACCTTAAAAAAATATAATTCACGATAAAAATTATACATATATTCTTCCAAAATTTGATACTAGAAATATGATTTTTTTTTTTGAAAAAAATTCATCAAAAAAAAAAAAACCCCTCATTTTTACTGGATGACTCCCTCTACTAAGAAATTATATAGGGATATTTTTTTTAAGTCCAATTTTTATCATCCTAGCCTTGCATTGTAATATTCACCAACAAATAACTTACATACACACCAATCATAAACAATGAATACACATCAAACTACATAGTTTTGCACAAGTCACCTGATTATGTGTGTAATCTATTTCACTGATCTCAAAGTTTCAATCCAAGTGTAAGGAGCATCGTTGGTATCTAAATTTACTCTAAATAATAAGATTAAGCTTATATTTACAAGACTTAACATTTCTAACTTGATGTTTTTTTAATCACATCTAAAGAACTTTATAAGATTTCTAACTATAGTATGTAATTTCGAATGGTACCGTTTAGTACGAGGCGATACATACCGGTTCAACGGCATACCAATACGCAGATCATCCATTATCGGACTAATCGTGTTACAGTACTACAGTAATACGCTGTAGTAGTGCTATAATGTTACAGTAAGAGAAAATCGCTCGATAAATCCTGGTGTACCGTTCGATATGTCGGTACCCGTATCGTACCGAGCCAACCTCGAAACACCGGTGCGGTACGATATTGCATATATTATTTCTAACATAAATCGATATAAATTTTAAGACTCGAACTACAAATGCACTATCTTGTACAACATAGTTCAAAATGAGTCTATATTTCAATTACCTCATCTTAAGTTAAAAGAAATCCATTATAATGAATTGATTCAATCATTCATGTTGTATTATAACGGATAGAATATAACTTCTTCCCACATGAAATAACATTATATCAAATTTATTTACATTGTGAAACCAACAAATTGGGTCAAACAAATCTTTCCAATGATCCATGCTTAATTAAACATTAAATATTTCCAAAAACAAAAAATTCAAAACCTGGTGAGACAGATGATTACACTCACAGATTAACAAACTCAAGAAATGATCGCCAAAAAACTTAATTTATGAATGGAAACAAAAAAAATCATTTTTTTTCTTCCAAACAGTCAAATTACGTGTTTTCCCAAACCAAACCAAACCAAACCAAGTTGGTTTGTTTTTTTTGGCGAACCGGTTCGAAACGCCCACTTGCTCATGTCGTCTTCCAAGCCGGGCGTCAACGGGCGCACGGTTGTCCTACGGTACAAATTGGGAGTGGCTTCCATGTAAAAGTCCAAAACTTAAAGAGTCTCTCTAGAGAAATATTTTTTTATATTTTATATTCTAAAAATATATATAATTAGATATTTTATCGAAAAAATATTTAATTTTTATCGAGTATTATTTTTTTAAAAATCTTGATAATACCCTTCAATCAAGTTGTTTCAAGCTCAATCGATCCGTCTTGATGCATGTTAGGTCGTTGGATCATTTTGGATTAAGTCAAGTTAGATTCTTTATATTCGAGTTATACTTACGTCATCATAAACTAAAAAATATATATAATTTTTGTTAGAATTATATTTTTTTAAAATTCTCAAAATTTTAATAATTAATTATCATAAAAATATCTAAAAATATTAATTTTAAAATATGTTAGGTAATTGAGTTTAACTTATTTCGATTTCCATTATAACAAGCTCAATATAGAAAATAAG